AATGTTTTTAGACGCAAAGAGCACATTGTAGATTAAGCTTAACCAAATAGCCCGGGGAATCGTATGCAGTACGTGAGAAGGTAATTCTGCATAAAATATTCCTCGTGAGAATGTTGGAAAAGTTGCGAAAGTTTTGAGATTACAATACAAAACAAACTACTTCGTAGAAGTCGTTCGACGGAAGCGGGATGTTCTTTTTTTCGTGGTACTCGTTGCCTTTTGCGCGGAGTTATCGATTTCGAGAGTACGTAACTTGAATGCATGTATGCACTCACCTACTTCAACGGCGAAAGGGTTAAGGTCATCGTTTCTCGCTTACACGTACGTACGCAGACGAATCGATCACACCTCGCTGTATCATTGCAATGGGGAAAGTTAAAGCGCGCGCGTTCAATCGAGCCGCGGAAACCTCGACTTTCGACCTCGCGCGAGTCGCGGCGCAGGTTGATAGGAGCTTCTCGATAAAGAGTACGAACGTATTCTTCTATTCATGGTTCTCCAACTTATCAAAAGAGTAGACATTATTAACGTGGAGCATTTAAACAATGTACAGGCAGATAATTTCCAAATAACAGGAAGTAGAATTATTTACGTCGAGTATCGGTTCGCGTGCATTGCCTTTTGGATGGGAATTAGGTAAATCTTTTCAATTAAATGACCGGAACCACCGCATTCGGCAATAGTACAGGATGGAAGGGTCAACCGGGACAGCGGATGTCACGCCGGCTTCCAAGCTCTTTAAATTACTTATAGGCTAAGCGGTTAATTGAGACGCGAGTCTTCGGTCCACGACCCCGACCGGAGGGTCAGCCGTGGGGTTCGGATTTCGGGTTCTCCAACCAGCTTCCACCGAATTCCCGAGGAGGAAATTCGTCGGGAGTAGCGAGCCCGACGAAGAGCCACTTTCGACTCTGTCCGTCCCCGGTACAGGAAATGTTGGATAGATAATGCAACCGCAGCCTACGTGAACGCATCCGAGCGCTATCGCGTATCACCGAACTAAAACCGCAGCGAGACGTATATTTAGTCTGGTCGCCGATAGAACGTCTGGCCGATGGATATATCGGGTTGCTGACGAAGAAAATAATTATTTACGTTCCCCCCGAACTTTATCGGGGCACGAGAAGACACGTTCGTGTCGGATCGTCGATGCAGCAGACTCGACAGCCAGGCTTTTGCTGTGCTCGCATAAACAGCGTTCGCGAAATTTTCTGCGTAGTATCAAAACCTGAAGTCCAACCGATCCGAGAGATTATTAATGAGCGTTAATCGGGAATCGAGGTATTTTAATCACGCGATAAGCAAGCGACACGTTATGCTAATATTTTGATACGTTGTATACATATATACGCGGTGCTCTGCCTCGCAAAACTGCAGCCGGATTGGCTACCAGATACCGATTGAACGTTTGACTTTTCCTTTCTGTTTAAATACCCGCTAGGGAAAAGCCTCTCGAGAGCATCACGAGAGTTTCTCTGTTGCCCGCAGCGCGCACGTGCGTATCTTGCGTGCGTGCCGCGATCCGTCATCCGGAAGGACTGATGATTGTTGTGCGCTCGTGTCGAGAAGTCGTCCTTGTCTTTTCGCCACGAAACCGGTTATCTTTGCAACCTCGGGCCTCGATAAATCGTAGGCGACATATTTTCTCCGAAATGCCTGCGTTCCCTGTCCTTCCCCCCCCCCTCTCACATCTTTCACTCTTTCCCTCTTTCTCGTTGCGATATTACTGACTCGAAATTAATATTAAATAGTTCGAGCGAAGGGTCAGGGTCACATTTTTAACCCCCCGAGAATATAAATTAAACTTTCGAGTCTTTCACGCATCTTTCATCCAATTACGATGAGATGCTCTAAAAAGAATAATTTTGAAATTATACGTGCGAGATCATCTTTTCGATTTCCGTCTCTTCTCCCATAAATTCGATTTTATTTATTTTTTACTTCACTTCTTAACTTAGCTGTCCGTCATATTTTCTATTTCTCAATTCCCTACGACCTCGTAACAAAGAGCGAACGACGGTCTTGGAAAATCGACACGTGTCGAACAATGTGCCTGCCACGAACGCCGCTGGCTGTAACACCTATTATTCGAGATTTATTAACGGAGAACGCAAGAAACGGAGACGTAGTTTTCCGACGAAGGTGCGCCGAGGAAAAAAAAGGAAATCGCAGGGAAGAATCGTGGAGAATTGCACGCTCGGTCATTACGAAACCGCGAGAGCGCCGAGAGATTCGTGACGTGCATTTCTTCGAGAGAAGAAACGCAAGCTGCACGAAGAGGGCAGACGACCTCGGGGTCCCCGTGCGGGCCCCGTGCCGCGTCCTTCCCTCCCCCCCCTTCGTCACGGTCCCTGGTACCTACGCCCTTTGTGTCCCAGACGTAGGTAGGTATTTCGAAGTCAACGTGGTAGCAGGTTTGACAACGGTCGAAGAAGTTGAGGCGGGTGGCTTCGGGTACTCAGGTACCTACGACTTGCTATCGCGAAGGCACGAACGAACGTGGCACGCAGCGAGCTACTCAAATAAATCAGACACGCATAAATGATCGTTTGGCCAAGCACGGACTATCGGGAGTGCACTGGACCATCGAGAATACATTGGACTATCTGGGTCTTCTGCGTGGCTATTTATAATTTTGCCGCGACACCTAAATGACGGACAGTTTCGTGGGTTCCGTAACGAAATCCGTTATCGCGAGAGGTGAGCGTGATGCGGCGATTAGGTGGCGATGATAGCGCGCAGCGGGTCGTTGTCAGATTAGTTAGGAAATCTCGCGAGACGTCGCGTGTGAGAGGGTTTCGCCTACATTCTAAAACCGAGAATCAGCAAAGAGATTCTAATGAAGACGTACCGCGCGCGCGAGAGAGAGAGAGAGAGAGAGAGAGAGAAAAGCCCGCGGCTCGGCCAGACAACGTTTATCAACATGATGATATCGCGTGCGGTTTAACAGCCGTACAAATCGGCACGGCCGAGATCGTATACTCGAAACGCTTCATCGAGCTGGTGAAAATAAATTCGTATATGTAATAATTAACCCGTCATGACGAATGGCGTGTCAATTAATACGGCAATTCTAAATAAGGACGAATGTGTAATCATATGAAATGAGGTGAGTGTGTTATACAGGGTGTTATGTAATACCCGCCTTGCCTCTTATTTACGGATAGAGCGGACTAGACTAAGTCGAAAAGTCCTGCACCATTTTGCAATTTTCGCAAAAGTTAACGAGTTATTAATTATTACAAATCGCTATCTTAGCCCGGCCTACCACCCAAGCCTAGCAACGCCAATCGCGGGACGGCTGCATCTCGCCGCGAGCTTGAATTGGGCGGTAGGCCGGGCCAAGACAGCGATTTTTAATAATAAATAACTCGATAACTATTGCGAAAATTGCAAAATGGTCGAGGAGTTTTCGACTCAGTCTAGTCCGCTCTATCCATAAATAAGAGGTGAGGCGGGTATTACATAACACCCTGTATAAGAAACAGATATCGCGCTATATCGCTTCTTTAAATACGCCATAATTTCGACGGGTTAAATTGATAAGATCTTTCGTGACTCACTGAGCAAGCGGTGGAAACAGGTTGAATGATATTTCACGATATTTGCTCGGATGTAGAACGAGTTCGCTCGCGATCGCGCGAGCATTCGATTCGAGAGCGTTTGTCGCTAACATTGTTTCGTCTCAATGACGATAGACTTCGTGACACGAGGGAACATTTATCTCCATCTGATTACACATGCGTGTTATAGTCCAGGCTGACTCGTAAAAATAAACAGCTAGGCCGAGCACGCCTATTAAGTTGATAATACTATATATAGCTCCGACAGTCGCAGGTACTTTAAGTGATACATCAAATTGCGACGGTCGTTCGCGTCACGAAAACACATTTAAATTTATTCCAGTGAAGAAGCAAAAGAACGAAAAGGACGAAAAACAGCCCGGAAGTTTTACTTCTGTATTTTATAATAAAAATATGTTACAATTTTACTCTCTTTCTCTTTTTTATAACGCGTATCACATTAATTTCTAGATTACGGCTCAATTACTTGGTCTATCTTTTCGGCTTTCCAACTGGTTTTAAGATGTTAAATTTAACCGAGTTATTGACATTATTTTTCTTATATCCGAGCATTTATTACACCGACCGAGTTTTCTCTACAACTGCTTTATAGTCGGAACTACTCTAGCTTTAATTTGTTATCACCAGCTATTATATTGTATTGTATTTTATTTATTATTTTCATGATTATGTTTTATAATTGCGCTTAATTTGTTACCGCCAACTATTATGTTGTATTGTATTTTATTTATTATTTTCACAATTAAGTTAATTGCACTGATGATGAACCCGAAGAAGGTGCTCGAAGCGTTCGCATTTCTGTAATTTCTGTTTTTATTTCAAATATATTCCTCATTGCGCACGTACTATATATCTTATTTGACTCTAACGGCCTTTTGATTTAAATGATTATTGTCGGAGTTTTTTTACTTAATTTTACAATTTAAGCAAATATATTATAACGTTTGTACGCGGAAAGAATTTTCTTTTAAAATTTACCCTGAAAATCATGTAATCCTGGGACAATGTGGCATTTTGAACAACTTTATGAGAGTTTTCTGAAATTTTACCATACACTTTACTAGTAAAATTTCTAAACACTCATAAAATTCTTCAAAATGCCACGTTGTCTCATGGTTACATAATTTTTAGGATAAATTGTACAAGAAAATTCTCTCGGTGTGGGTACATTTATAATAATAATATTTTACTTCTCGTTATTAATACTGTAATAATACAAGTAATAATAAAAATGTATTATTCATTACGATTTTTTAACATCCCTTTCATCCTATCAATTCCTTTTTTTTCTGGAGCAACCGAGTGTTTGGAGCATCGAATTAAAGCCGCGTCGCCGCGGCGTTGTTGCCGGCTCCGATCTGCCGTTATTGATATCTCTCAATCACGACGCACATACGCGAAAGAAAAAGTGATCACCTGTTGAAGGTCTGCTCGTACTGCTTGATCTCGCGGCGCGATAGCTCGTGGAACTCCGTGTAAACGTTGACGAACTTGTACTGTTTCTTCACCTCTTTGCCCTCCTCGAGCTCGTCGTTGATCCTCTGCCGTCTGCTGAGCAGGCTGCTGAGCTCCGCGTCCGCCGGCATGATCCTCGATCCTCTCGATCTCGAATTCTTCCGAGTGAAGAAGCGACGCGGGGGGGATTCGCGTTAAAGGCGTGAGGGACGCTCTTTAAAGAGACCTTACGCGGCACGCGGTTATCGTGAGTTAACAAGAGGGCTGTCAGGGGAGGAACGCACACCTCTGCGATCAAACAATCCGCGCGCCGCGGCGAGACCGCATGTACTGACGCGGCGTCGAGCGTAGGAGCGACTGGTAGCCGGCGCCGTCAACAGGCAGTGCCGTAGCCGCCGTCGCCAAACACGTTTTATCCTTCGAATATTCCTTTTCCTACGAGCCTGTCATGCCATGGAATTTCGAAAGCGCGGTAGCGCGATCGCGCCTCTTTCAAGCGCGAAAGTCATTAGAACGCGTCCCCGAGAGTCAATTGTCACTGCGTATAATTGTAAAACTGTTCTTAGAGCAAGAAGCAGGGGAGGGGGGTGGCTAGCGGTTATATCTCATGTCTACCCTTACACAAATGTTACAACTGGGAACGAAAAAGCACTGAACAATTACTACAGTTCGGTAATTGAATTATTAGAAATTACTGGTATACAGTAATTTTCTAATAATTATTTCGCTTGCATTTCTACAGTGAATTTTTCTTCGATATTACACGCTTCTACTTGGAGTAGTAAAACGGATGACTTGAGACGTCATTGCGTCCTTTTCTTTCTTCTTGCTTCGAGGAGAAATCTCAGCCGATGTCTAATCCGATTGGTTCATGTGAACCATGCTTGTTCGAGATTATTAAGTTATATTTGAAGAGAACAGAAATTGCAAATGCCGCGGAAAATTAATTACGGAACAAAATTATATATATACACGTAGATGTATAAGTTGAGAAAATAGTTTCTTTGAAATTTTGTTTATCGTTAGCAAATTCGACGCTCTTGTATAACGTCATCTGGTTGTTGCGACACCTGACGCCATCGCGGGCTCAAAATCGATACGTACGCGCGTCTGTTCGTATTTTCTCTCGTACCTGCCTCCCTTTCGCAGTCAAAAGATACGCCAACCGTGACAATGTATTATTTGCGAGCATATTAGCTGTTATTATATGCAGCTACGGACGGTGACTACAATGCGGAAGAGATGACAATTAGGACAGTATTATTTTAATGTCGACTTTTAAACCAGAGCGGATTTCAGTCGAGTTTCCTGAAAAATGCGCTAAAAGTCAGCATAAACTGGCGATATAAGTGCAAATCGCAAAAGAAATTTCGACACAAATATAAACGAGCGTGTACATACGTACAATGTGAAAAAGATAAACGTAAGTATATTTTACTTTTTTTAAATAGAAAGTTGCTTACTAAAAAATTACTTAAAAGGATCCTAAGTCATCTGTTTTACCAACACAGTCAAATATAGTTTTTACGCCTGTAATTTTTTTTATTAGCTTTTATGCACAAAATAATACTAGGATAAGTTGCGGACCGCATAGCAGAACATTTCCATACTTAAAACACTCAGTTCCGAAGTCTAATAAGAAAGATATATTGGTGATATCTTCAATTTCTCTTCATTTTTTAATATAAAGTCGACTGTCCCCGGTTTTGTCTTTATGCGTACTTTAATCGTGTGGAAGAAGTTTGCAACTTTATAAAGCCAATTTCAAATTTAGTTAAAACTACGAATTGAAAATTTTAAATACCAATATCTTTTTTATTAGACTTCTGAACTGAGTGTTTCAAGTACGAAAATGTTCTGCTATGCGGTCCGCAACTTATCCTGGTATTATTTTATGCATAAAAGCTAATAGAAACGATTACAAGCGCAAAAATTACTTGTGACTCGAAACGATACACATTGTATGTATGTGAAAATACTTTATCGACAGTGGAAAGAATTTTATTTCACATAGAGCTACACGTCGCAATACAGCGCCACTAAGCACGTGACGTATAAGCATGTGCGATTGGCGAGTAAACTGAAACCGGAGTAACCGGCCAGATAGCGACCAGAGAGAAACCTGAGAGCGACCACGCCGGCGTTTTACTTGATACCGTTTCGGGAGACTGTTTTGCACGCTCTTACGCCCATTTTTATTTTTGATATGAAATGAAACTATTTCATTATATTTTTTTGTTTTCTCCTCCTCTATAGGGACGCCGTCAACCGTTAAGTTATTTAGCGTGGAACTATTTTATTACGCATTTTCTGACTCTGCCGATAACATTTCTACTTGGTGCATGTCTGTGCCAGAAAGAAAACTGAGAGCGGCCCCGTCAGAGGTTTAAGCCTATCACACAATGCCTGACAACAGGCAATAGGAATAGAGAATAGAATTTTTGACGTGTTGGATTCGTCGGAAATTTTTTTCCAACCAATCCAACGCGTCAGAAATTCTATTCCCTGATCCTATTGCCTGTGCTTTCCTATTGTGTGATAGGCTTTACTTGATACCGTTTTTGCTCGGCTGATTCCAGTGCCTTACGCCCATTTTCATTTTCGGAACTATTCAGCTACATCCATTTTCAAGCACTGCTGATAAAGTCTCTACTTGTTGCGTGTCCGTGCTACGCTATTTTTCAAGTGGGTAATGCACTGCTCAATTTTGGTTGTGTTCCGTGCTGCATGCTTGAAATCTCGGTAACACAAGAGTGTTATTGAATTTTTATAACGGGAGTACTCATTGATATTAAACTAAAAGTGGATATGGATGTCAAAACAAAAATGGATATCAAACTCCTGTGTTTTTAGTTTAATATTAGTGACGTAATATTGTAAGTTTTCGAAAACAATTTTTACTCTGTACTGACTTTGTGTTGATTTCGTTTTGTGGTCAACATACTTTTGAGTTGCAATGTAATTAAACTTATAGAAGTTTAATTCCTTGAGAAGGACCACAACCCGTATGGCCGAAACGTGTCGAATTTAAATAAATAAACCATCTGCCAACCTAAAGTCGTTTAACAATTCTTTTTATCGTTAACCAACTACCGGCGATTCACATTCTTTCGTTGCTGACATATAAATTACATGTATGTATAAATGCAAAATATAAAAATTTGCTGACAAGTAGCGATTACTCTATTAATAACGGAAATATATAAATGTATATACTTTTACCAAAAAAATTTGTTTACTCTTTGTTGTGTAAATACTCGTTTGTACACGATGAAAAATTACAAAATAATGTCAAATTTACACAGTCAAAAGCATTAAGCAGTTTACTTATTACATAAGGTAATAATTTTACTTACAAGGAGTAAATTTACTGACGTATGTAAATATAGGTACACCTTTACTAAATGGTCCGAACATTACTCACTATAATACTTGTAATTTTACATGTTATTTTTTTACAGTATGTATATTCATTGCCGTAATAAAAAAGTTTCTTACTCACCGATCCGATGCGCAGCAGCGGAGTTTAACTATACGGTGATCCTGTAACATACAATTATAAAGTTCATATTAAAACAGAGTATTCAAGAAAATGAATATATTAAAGAAAATAATTTTTAAATTATTGAAAATAAACAAGAGAAAGATTAATTTTATATAAAAGAAAAAATATTTACCTTAAAGTTGCTCCGTCGGTGCCTGATGCCTTCCCCAGGCCTCCTCCTCCACTCAGGTTGTCTTCTTGTACACTCGCGAAAACACAAAGATCGTTCGCGCGATTTTACACTTTCAAAGTCCACTTATACACAAACGGCACTCCCGAACGCGACGCGACACGACGAATCGCCGCGCGCGGTTGCGATTCGTTTAAACTGACGAAATAAAAGCGAAATTATTCGTCAGTCCTCGAAAGTTCGTGCTGAAATGAACAAAATCAATTAATAATGTGCTCTCTAAAAGTCGATCGGATTATCACTGAAAACAGTGAATCGATTCGTTATTTTCAGTAATAATCCACCGATTAACTTTCAGAGAGTGTTAGGCCTGGTTTATCATTTTCTGGTTAACTGTTAATATGGAAATTATTCGACTCTCTATACTTTTCTATATTATTATCTAAGAAGAGACAGAGAATCGATTAAACTATGGTCAACAGTTTATTAGAAACTGAAAAATCGGGCCCAAATGGGTGCAATGGGTACCTTTGGTTGTCCCGTCTTTAGAGTATGTACTCTCTAAAATCAATCAATGGATTATCACTGCAAACAGTGAATATTCACTGATTCAGTGATAATGCACTGATTGAATCTTAGAGAGTAACTCTTCGGGGTACTTAAGCCCCTCCACCACGACAAGGTAGTACCCGAGGAGGGGATTATCGCGCGACTAAAACTGTGCGATTACATACATATGTGCATATTTAGAAAATGAATATTGAGTGAACATAAATTAGTGTTGCTATTTAATGCACGGCGTGAGAGAGATTCGTCCAATCGAAAGATTAATTCACACTCGATTTTGGGACAAAATCAATTTTCTCGGAATTTATCAATAATGCCTCATAAACTAATAATCCGAGATGAGCCATTCTTATCTCGTTAGAAGCGCTGAAATCTTAGCTTTCCAACGAGACCAAGATCATCTTGCTACGATTTTTCTGTGCGACGATTTTGACGATTATATCGGCTCGCAATCTCGATCTCGGAAGAAAATCAATTTTATTTT